GGATCTGCATTCATTTAATTCTATAGGTTTATAATTTATCGAATTTAGTTTGTGTGATCCTTGCACCGATTCTTGTTGGTCCTGAAGCCATTTTTCTCTTCTTCACAACATACGTACACAAAATCTCGTGGGATTGATTATAGGATTTTTTCAAATATTTATATCGGTTCAAACCTGTCTTGACATATGAAAAACAAAACAATTCATGCTTTCAGGATCGATCAGTGATCGAATATATATTAAAAGATCATACAAGAATCGACAAATCCGGATTGCAAATCAACTATTGCTACCTATCGCAACAACAGGCGAAAAATCATATAATTTTACGTACGTACATACTTTGATTATTGGTAGTTCAAATGAACTCAGTTCATATCAAGTTACGTGAATTTTTAACTATATAGACAATTTATTTGAACTGATGTTAAGGACCGGGCTGATTAAGTTCGAACTTAATTTGAAAAGACGATTGGCCGGTAAAATTACAACCAAAAATAAAGATAGTCAAACTGATCCAAATTAATGTCAAGATTAATTATTTATGAGTTACTAACTAACGTTAAGCCAAACTAATTTCATTCTTTCACCCTATAAAGTAAATTAGAATAAATGAGGAGTATTGTTACCCCTTGCATGATTGTTTCCGTTGATGAACTACCTAAGATATAAATATATCGGAACATTACAGTTCATTTTAAGCTACACTGATAATGAATGACGTTATGTTGATCATAACCATGTATAAATATTAATATTCAAAAAAAAAAAAATTCTATGAAGTGATTTTATTTGGAAAGTTATTGCAGTATTGTTAGAATGATAGTCCGGATGACCAGTTATTTCTTGTATCTGAAATGGCTCTAGCAATATCGCGAAAACTACCAAACTAAATTCGATAAATTATAAACCTATAGAATTAAATGAATGCAGATCCAGTTATCATTAAAAGTTATTTTCGATTATTACCAGATTACAAATCATCTAATTGCAGAATTGATCCATCAAAAATTTGAAGTTGCTTACTAATTTCTTGGAACTTTATGAAGGCTATGTATTTTCATATTTTCATTGGTGATTAATTATCAAAAATCGAAATTACTGTCAAGTAAAAGATACGTAGCATTATTGTCTAACTATCTATAATAAGGATATGCACATGATAACTGATAAAAAAAAATTAGCAATTAACGTTAAATTACGTATGTACGTATCGGTACGTGCATATTTAACAAAAAAAACAAATAACAAATAGAGGCGTAAGTGTTATTTATAACTTTTACACTTAAAATTTGGTACGAAAATAGTACGTACGTACGTACGTAATTCAAATTCATATCAGATATGTATAATTTTGGCTCCGAATAAATAAAGTTCAAAATCATTCAGATATGTATAATTTTGGCTCCGAATAAATAAAGTTCAAAATCATTTACCGGTAAATATCATGTGCTGCACCCATGCACATGACTCTTGTACAATTCTTGGACAGTCCGAAATTTATCGGAAGGAACTGAAGGAACTACAGATCTATGGCACGCGTACGTATGTACAGTACGTTATGAGAACAGCGATCGAAATGATTATCAATAATTGATATATTGGCACGTGCTATCTTTCAAAAATCCTATTCATCATATTCATGCGTACATTATACACTTTATTGATAGATCAAAAACAAAAAAAAAAAAAAAAAGGCAAAATAATAATAATCATTACAAATTTTTTAAGCCATATTTTGTAGGAATGAAAGTATTAAAAAAGAAAGAAAAGACAGTAAATTGCCACTTATGATAATTGTTTAGTATCAGGTAAAAAAGAAAATCATAATTAATTATTCCTATAAATTTTTGCTTTAGAACGTTGGTTTTTCAACATAGTTTCGGTGACACTACCAACTATGTATAATATGACAGTAATAATCATCAAAATGATGAACAATAAATAATTTTTAAACCAACTTCCCACTCCAGAATCAGATCCGGATCCGGATTGAAAGTTAGTATTATTACTGCTACTAAAGGTTCCGCTTGATGAATCAAAGTTAATTTCCTGTAATTTAACCCAATTTGAAAAGTCCTGGACAACAATACCACGAACGGTTACATTTCCAGAAGTTCCAGAAGGTGTCCAGGTATATGTAAGCGGCAAGGATTTTGAATTAGCATTTGTATGCGTCAACGTATTTTGTCCTTGACAATTTTTGTATCCAGTCGGAATTGTAAATGATCCAGTATCCTTACCATTCGAATCTATTGTGTAAATAAGAACTCCCTTAACACTTGTCGAACTGCTCGGACCTGAGATTTTTATATTTAATGACTGTCCTTGCTTAGAGGTAGAAATGGAATAACCTCCGAAACCTTGAATCTTAGATGGTCCATGACCTTTAGTAGCCATTTCGTCAACATTACATGTACCAGCTCCAGTCGGATAGGCTGATACATAGAATGGTATGGTTATTACGAGGAAGAAAAGCGATAATTTAACAAGTAAGTTGGTCATTTTGTTTTTTTGTTCAGATAAAATTTAAGAGTTTCTTTCTGCAAAAAAATCGCCAGCGATTCAGGAAAGAATTTTATAAAAATTTTGTTAAAGTTACTTCTGCTCTTTTCGTCACACGTTAAAAGAACAAAAAAAAAAAAAGCTCCTCTAAACTCTTAAAAAAAATGACGGTTTCAGGCTGAGTATGAATAAATTTATGTAACAGCAAGGTAACTAAAAACAGTAATAATCGCTAAATATAACAAAGAATGAAACATCAATATAAAAATATAGGTAAAACGTTTTATACTTTTAGTATTCTTATAAATAAAAGTTGTACATATCAATATTGAATTCACAGCATAATTATTATTGGTTATTCCCCCTTAACTTTCTTATTAGAATGATCTAACTTTCTTATTAGAATGATCTGTGTTATGCCGAACTTGTTGATAATCAATGATAGTTAAGTAACTGATATCAAAGAACATGTCGTTATCAACAAATTATATATACTTTTAAAGTTTTACAATACTAAATGGAAATTTTCATGACTATGATGCTAACTTCGCCTCGACTGGTATTTTTCCATGAAAGTAAACCATATAAACTTTGATTTAGGTTAAATTTACCTAAAGTTAGTAAGCTTAGCAACGAACGGGATAAAAGAGGACAGTTCCGGATAAAGAATGCAGTTCCCGTTTATGATTAATTGATAAATATTCCCAATTATATTCAGCATGATTTACAATACTGATTTTTGAGATTCTTTCGTGTATCTTTTCGTAACTCAATACTTTTATATTTGAATCAATAACCGTGCACATCTATTTTGCATGTCAAAGCCCCATTCTAGAATTCATAAACAAAAAAAGGGTATACGGACTACTCTTTTTTTTTTAAAAAATGGTGTGATATTTCTATTTTTAACCCGTTAACGTTACTATAAATTTTTTAATTATATGTTTATTATTTATTATATATTATATATTAAGTATTTTTCTTATAAAATCTACAAATTTCTTCAGTGTTGAGGAAATCTTTTTTTGAATTTTGTCAAGTGACAGGTGATTACAAAAAAAAAAAAAAAAAAAAATTTAAAGTTATATATTAAAATTATATATGTAAATATGTCCATATTGATAACATCTTATATGTTAATTAGTTTGTTCTTCAACTATTCATCCTAGTATAATACTGTAATAGGTTCATTAATTAATGAACTGTAACTGAAACGAAATCGAAGATCATTTTTCCCTTTGTTTGGCATTAAGTACCGCTTTTGGACTGTTACGGTACAAACTTGTCTTGTTGGTTTCATTAAAAAATAAATGCAAATTTCTTATGCATGTTTTTTGACTTTTTGTCTCTTCTCTAGTAAATTTCATCTCTACGACCCTTAGAAATCTCACCGGTTGAGTTTCTATTGTAAGATTTTTGATTTTATAATTTTAGAGCTGGTCTCTTTATTAAATTATTAAAAAACGAAAAAAAGGGAAAGCTAACCGCAGTGCTCTATTCTATCATCGTCAAGTACAGCAATTTTTCATATAATAATCGTATCTGGGAAGACGACCAAAAAAAAAAAAAGAAAAACAAAATGTCTAGTTATATAAGTGGTGCAGATTTTAGTGCTGGCTACTATGAGGCTTTGACCTTTGCTGCAATTGTTATAGTTATCTCGATAGTATATCAGACTAAACAAATTCAGCGATATCTTTCGGGTTCAAAGACATCTACCCTTCCCGATTTACCTCAACGAAGAGATAAAAATGAATCCAATATTTATGCACAAGGAATAAGTCAATCTAGTGTTGCTATCTCTCCTGCCACTAAAATTCATCTTGCTCCAACCATATATGTTTATAAGTTCTGGAATTTTGTTATTCATGTTATTGGGGTTGGCGATATGTCAATTGGTGAAATAATTATCTTTTGCTTGTACATAAGTATAAACATTATTTTTTTGGTGATACCTTTGGGTGGATCTGGTATTCCTTCACAACCAAACATTCGGGCTGCTTACGTTGCTTTGGGAAATGCTGCTTTCATATATCCCTTGGCTACTAGAAACTCTGTCTTCATCAAACTCATTGGTGTTCCTTTTGAACGTATGATCAGATTTCATCGTTGGGTTGGAAGGACAATTTTTATCCTCCTTTCATTTCATGCTTCTTACCAAATTCAAGTTGCTGGCTCTCTTACACAAGTTTTTAAAGGCAGTGTCACTTTATACGGTTTCCTTGCTTATTTATCCATATTCATAATCATAACCATGTCACATTCTCTATTTCGACGTTACTTCTTTGAAGTATTCTACTGGTCACATTTCTTTTTTCTCTTCTTTTTCATTTTCGGTTGTCTTCATCAACAACAATTCGTCGTCTTTACCATATATGGCTTCGTACTTTATATCATTGATCGTCTCATTCGTTTCATTACTGGATTTAAAGCTGTTGAAATGGTATCAATTGAAGCACTTTCGGCCAATGTCACTCGTATAGCCTTTAATTACAGATCATATTATGAAGCTGGACAATACATGTTTGTAAACTTTCCGAATCTCAATGCACCAGTATCTTTAATTGCATGGCATCCTGTATCTTTCTCTTCGGCGCCTGCAGTAGATGATATAAATCCTGATACCATACATATGAAAGTTCAAGGATCATTTACACGTCGATTATTCGCTAAATCACAGGAAGGGATGTATAATGCCCCTCTGAAAATGAAAGTTGATGGTCCATATGGAAAACCAAGTCTTGACTTTTTAAGTTACCGAACTGTTATGTTGGTTGCTGGTGGTATTGGTATTACTCCAATGATTAGTATATTAAGAGATTTAGTAGATCGTCAAATTTCAAACATGCCAATTATGACTCAGTCCATTTATTTCTTATGGACAGTACCTGACACCAGTAAGTTTTTTTAAAAAAAAAAATTTATTATTTTTATTAATTATAATAATGAACAATAATGATAATAATAATATTTATCATTTATAATATTTTTAATAAATAGATTCTTATTCATGGTTTGGAAACGAATTAACTGAGATTCAAGATAGATTCACCAAAAGATTACCAGAATCAAAATATCTACTTGACATCAAAATATTCCTTACAAGGTCGACAACAACACCATCATCTGTATTCTTCCAAGGTCGACCAAACTTTGTAACGATGATGCAAGATCTAAAGCAATTTCATGGTACTGGTGATATTGCTGTAGGAGTATGTGGACCAGCTTTAATGCTGAAAGAAGTGAGATCTGCTGCGGTAGCTGAAAGTGATGAAACTTGTTTGATCAAAGTCCATTGTGAAACTTTTGAATTATAAAAAAGAAAAAAAAAAATCACATTAAGTTATTATTATGGTTCTAGCACTTTAATTTTATGAGTTTAAATTTATTTGATGAATTTATCTGTGTAATGTTGTCTATATTTTTTTCAAGTAATTGCATATATAATATATATTATACATGTGGAAGTAAAATCTTAGAATCCACACGAAAAAATTTCATTCAATTTCGTTCAATTACTGTATACTTCATGATAATGAACAAATCTCATTCACGTGTTTATCGAAAAAATTTAAAATTGTACGTACGTACATACGTACTTTTTGATCAGGGTTCGTGTATACATGCCGCAAAAACTATCGTAAATGTGTGTACACAAAATCCTCTGAAATATTAGAACCACGAAAACTTTATTAATTAAATTCAAATACTGTAATTAGACTGCCTATTACAGTATTATAAGTACAACGTATGCACAGCATATGCTTAAATTTTTTTCCTTTCACAATATAACCTCTTGGCGCGTACTAATCCGGATCTATTAAGTGGTTTAAAAATTGGTGGATCTTGTATACGCACATTTACGCATTAATTTTTAATATGAAACCGCCGTGGTAACTCAGCGGTTTCGTATCAATATCATGCCGAAGTAGTTTCTACGTATTTATTTTCGGAATGCGTCACTTATTTGTTAATTTTGAAACCCCCTAATGCCGCTAATACATACCCTTACTCTAACTAGTGCCCCTAATGAAGCTCTGCATTGATATTATTCTGAATATTCTTGGTTTATCGTGCCAAGAACTTTATTTTTGATATTCCGAATTTGTTTTATCGTGCCAAGAACTTTATTTTTGATATTAACTGATAACAATTGAAGTGGTAATTAGCAAAAAATTTCATTCGCTCACATAGTTAATCATAATCGCAAATATTTGTAAAGTTTGACATGCACTTCTGCATTTTT